GGTTCATGAGACTTGACATTTTTGTGAAAGGGGTTCACAGGTTGTTAAAGTTTGGGAACCACTGCCCTAGCCTAACCCTAACCCCTAATCCTAACCTAACCCTACCCCTAAACCTAACCCCAAACCCTAACCTCAACCCTAATCCTAACCGTACCCTAACCCCTAACCCAAACCCTAACCCTACCCCAAACCTAACCCTTGACCCTGACCCTAACCTAACCCAACCCTAACCCCCCACTCCAACTTGACCTGAGTATCCCAGCAGCATTACCAGCTGGACACTGCTCCTGTCACAGAATACTAAAGATGAGGGTGCTCAGAGGCCAAGCGCTCAGAGACCAAGTGGGTAGACCTACCTACACTTAGGCTTTTGGGGGATTATTCAGTTCTTCAGGATTTTCATATGGTGCGCTCAGTGGTACAGCTGGAGGTGATGCAACCCCAAAGCTGCCACTGAAATAAATTAGACAAGCAATGGCAAGATGGACGCTGCCCAGAAATGCCCTTATCCCAATCCCTTTAAAGAGGTGGTGCCTAGAAAACAAATATTCACTGTGTCGAGTCTTTTTCCAATGGCAGCAAGAAACCCAGATGAATGATGATAGACATTTCTGATGGTGGCTGGGACTCAGCAGGAAAATCTGGCTTTTCAATTTCCCATTGTAGACATATGTAAACATGAGTCACAGTTTGGCCCTTCAGTTGACCTGTAAACCCCTTCTCTCCCCAACCCCACAAAAATCTCAGAGCTGTGCTTGCAATCTTCAGGCAGATACTGAAGTCCACTGAGTTGCCAGAAGGAGCAAGAAGTTGCAGAAATCTTCTGTTTGTACTGTGTTAAAAAAATTCGCAAACAACTGTGCAATTGTTTCACAGTGGGCTTATGGAGCTTGCTTTGTTGAGAAATGTAATGCAAATGCAAAGGTTACAAAGGAACAAATTATTTATTGTTAAAAGCTTTTCTACGAATCACTCTGCATCGTACAACAAAGATATGGTGGCTACACAGTAGAGGAAATCTCGCTCTCTCTTGTCACTCTCTCCGCCCCCCCCCCCCATACACACACAAACACACACACAAGTTATGGAGTTCCATTCCTGAATAAGATTGGCAAAGCTGTTTGTCATACAAGGTAAGATCTGATGGATCAGATGCAGCTCACTGAACAACAGAGCAGTTACAAGAAAGGAGGAAGCACTCTTCAGGAAAACAGTCTGCTTTGCCCTCACCTGCTTCCACTGAATGTGGAAGAGCGTTTAACAGAAAGAAACCTGACTACAGTCTTGACTGCACAAGTATTAACAAGGGCATTCTATTGTAGGTGACTCACAAGCTGCTCCAGGACTGTGCCATCCAGTGCTGCAAGGCACAATTCTAAACATGGTGCTACAATCAGTATTGGCAGCTGGAGTGCTTTCTGCACTAGAATGGCCAATACTACGAGTTTCATCTGAACCAGTGTTAGTAATGGTGAAAAAAATTTCTACAATGTCCATAATTCAGACAAAGTTTATGACAGACTATTAGGCTGTGCCCTGCCTACCCATTTTCTAGCCTACACAGTAGTTATCAGACTGGCTGTCTCACTTGGTTATTCCACATATATATTTATACTTGCATACACACAGAGAGCATACCGAATTACATGGACTGTGCTATATCCAAATGGTATTGCACCGATTAGTCTGTGCTATGATTTAATAGCACTTCGAGTGCTCTCTGCTCCATGTCTTCCCACCGCTGTATTCCGCCACCCATTTGGGGGAACTGTCTAGATGGCCAAATAGGTCTTTTCATTCTGTACTTTCTAGGAAGCACTGCCTCTGAATCCTTATCCACTGTGCAAAGCAGGGATCACTAAAAGAGTGTTACAAACCTGCCAATTTCACAGTTCAACTCCAAGGTGCACCTTCCTTGTCCCCATGCATTGGCACACCATGGATTCCGCACTAAACCGTTCCCAGTCATCTGCTATAGGTTCTAGTTTACACCATATATATAGATATGGACCTATATGCTGTTATCTACCCCCTTTCTCTGACAGATGCTATTTTTTGTTGCACCCTGCATAGATTTGTGTTGTCCTATAGCATCAAAATAGAATAGCCAGAAAGGATCTTTTAGTCCATGTAGGCCCTTTCCCTGCACTAGGCAGGATTTGCCTCTATCATCATCTGCTGAGAGCTTTCTCCAGAGCCTTCCTAACCTCTTCTATCCATTAAGTTTATTCAATTTAGTTTATCGTTCAAATTCTGCCATTATTACAATGCTGTTCGGCTTCTACCCAATCCTGCTCTATTGTTTCTCCCTACATACAATTTCCCTTCTTGCTTACAGTATTGGCTCAAGCTCCTGGCTGTACGGCCATAATACACGGGACTGTTTCTCTCTTTATTTCCTCAGTAAAAGAGCAGGAGCAGGACTGTTTCTAAACAACGACAAAAATCAAACTCCCATAATCAGTTTAGCCAAGGGAGATCGCCATCAGCCATTCCTAAGAATAATCACTGGGGAATATAATTCTGGACAACATTGGGGGAGACTCTGAGAATACAACCTGTAGCTGGATATATTCACTGTTATTGCTAGTTAATCTATGGCATTAACATACTGCAGTGGTAGAAATATCTAAGTTGGAAGCAACAACACTAATGGTGATTCTGAATAACCTGACCAGAAAGCACAGACCTGGGGTAATAGAAATGTCCAATTAAATCCTGGACTGAGTCAGACTTGTATAAGGAAGAAAGGCTGTTGCCACTCCATCTTCTCTTATCAGTGGAGGCAGCACAGCTGGAATCTCCACACATGACCATCTGGCACCTGAAGGGGAAAATTTACCTAATCTAAAGTTCTCTGGCACATGTGCTGCATGCTTATGCCCCAGCCCCTGCTCTTCCTTTCCTCACACACACAAACAAACAAGTATTATTTATGTATTTCTTATTCCTGGAGACTGAACCCATCCTCTGAATGTAGCTGCTCTGTTTAACATGTACTGAAAAGAGCCTACACACTGGATAGCATGCACACAACTGATACAGCAGCCTAATAAATATGGAAGCACAGTTGCAGATAACTCACTCTGTTTCCCTTCAGAATGTTTTGCCTGTGGTCAGGTTAATGGAGTAAATGAGAGCTGAATATCTTTCACATCCCAGGAACCTTACATTCCCACTCTAGCCTTAGCTTAAGACCGCAGTACTGGAGTGGTTTTAAAATTGAAACGGTTTAGCCCAAGCATTGAGAAGTATGCTCCCCCATTCACAATAAAAGGCTTCACTATCCAGGACAAAGCAGGGATCTGTCTCACACCAAATTAATTTATAAGATAGTACTGACTGTTACATCATCACAATCCAAATTCAAACGCCCAAACAGGTCTCTGAACACAATGGTCAGAGTGAAAGCTATGGTATACAAAAGCAGAGAGACATGGATGAAGAGGCATGGATGTCCCCTTCCAGAACTGGACAAAGGAAACTCAGGAGTACACCAGAAGAGGACAATTCCCCAACAGGGAAGACCTGCAAAGATGACAGAGGAGGAGATAGCAATATTAAAACAAACTACATTGTTGAGAAGAACAGTGCACTACAAACCTGAACTTATTTTTCCTTGCATGAGAGTGAAGAAAAGGATGCAAGTAGGAGTATCCCAGAAGAGGAGTTCGATTTCTCAATCATTAATATGTTATTCATTCAACTTTGGCAACTGCTTTTTGGGCTGGGAATCATGTTAGGTTATTATTACAGACTGACCTGGGAGCTACATAGATATGGAGTTTGAAGAGTGGGCATGTGCCACTGCTCCCTACTTCTTGGCTGTTTAATAGGTTGTAATTTTCATAGCCTGGATCTCCTATACTTCTCGAGGGAAGCTGTTTTTTCTAGTTCTCAATCTCTACTGCTGGAACTTGATTGAGGCAGATAGTGCTTGTAACCCAGCAGCATCCTGAAGTACAGTTACAGATTAAATAAAGGGGATGAAAGTTTTTTCTGGTATAGGTAGTACATCTGTGGTTGAAACATAGGGTTCATCCATGGAGTCAGAGAAGAGAAGTCACTGCAATTTTCTTACATGCTATGAAGTTGCACATCTTGGACGCTGCAGCACTTCAGTAATCAGGAGGAAACGTCTCTTGAGCACTGTTCCTAATGTTACAGCCAGCACAGCACAAAAGTAATGAAATCAGATACCTTACATTGTAGCCTTCCAGTAATACTAACTGTAGCTAAAGCAGTTATGCACGCAAAAGCACCACTAGATCATTTCCACTTTCCCAGAATGCTTCATTTTGGCTCCAACCTCACCACTACTGGCTCCAATGATGTCACTGGCAGTTTTCTTATCATAGAGGCAGTTATTTTCCTCTTAGCATGGCAAATTTGAGCATCATGATGAGTTATTGGCTTGTGTGGTGAAACAGACTTCACTCCATCTTTCACTCAATGGGATAAGGTCTTGCAGAATGAATGGTCTGACTGTACCTCTTCCTTTTAGATGTTTTGTCACTTAATGGGCAGTTCCAGTTGGAATGGAAGCTGTGTTTGGGAAACTGAATGATTCCACAGCTGGAAGAGAGAACATTTTGTCCAATTTCAGGGAATTATCAGTGCAGAAAGTTGTCATAGGAGACTCTCAGATCACAGCTGAAACCATGAAGAATGAGAACCGCCTTTGTTTCTCCACATCCACAGTCTCCTGTAACATCTAGCATCCCCCCCACCCATGAATATATGGTATAGTCCAATAAGTTTGCTGTGTAGTGTCTGAACTTTCTACTAAAACTCAATGATGCAAGTAGATGGATGAACATTTAATCCTTATTAATATGGACACCTCAATGGGGAATAGAAATCTTGTGCCCTCTCCGGCCTGGAATGGTTTGAGACACTCACATTAGCAGGATTTTCAGGGGTCACGCTAAAGCTGGTGTTGTGACTGGTGTTGCTGATGGCACATTCTTGTCCAGTCATTAAGCAAGTCCATGTGTAACAGTGAGCTAAGTAACACTGAGACGTCCACTGGCTCTAGATTCATGATGCCAATGGGAGGTTGTGAATAATGTTTATGTGTTACGCACTCCCAGAGACTGTTCCAGTTCCTGCCGGCGCTGTTGGATCTGAAAGAATAAAAATTATAGGTCTGTACAATTATGCAGATTCACATATTATCAATCAGCAGGCAGAAGGATTCCCTCTGCCCACGCCCAGTTAGCCAGCATGCATGACACAAGCAGGCTAAGTTACATTTCCTCCTTACCTTACAGTAGAAATATCTGCTCACAGCCTCCTGGGACCAGGGCTCATGATAAAATTCAGCTCTACGCTCCTCCTCAGGGTTCCCAACCACATCAGTCATCACCTGTGACAGAGATGCAACGATTCTTTACCACATCTCTTATAATCTGCATGTAACCCTCTAACATACCTGGCATCAAAGTGTCCCAGCAATGGCTATGCGGCTCCCTCACCAGCATTAAATTGTCAGGATCTTAACCAAAAACCCTTACTACAGTGCTGTCCTTATCTAAAATCCATATCTCTCCTGACCCCACTCCATTTCCCAACAGGGAAAGAACTGCTATGGAGAAAGTCAGTCAATTAATAAATTAGGAAAGGGGAGAAAACTGAAGGCTCAAAATTGGCCAGAAACTTGAGGTACTTTTTCAATATCTGCAAGAAAATATACAAAGATTTGAACAATTTATGAGGAAAGAAAAATCTTTAAATGGTTGAGATTTTCAAAGCAGTGCAGGGAACTTTAAGTCATTAAAAGCAATGACCAAATCCCCTGCACTGCTTTGAAAAGCTGAGCAAATAGAACTGTTGTTACAGAACAAGGCAGGGGACATTTAGTGCATTGCACAGTCACAAATGCACAGAATCTATGCTATGCCCTGGCTTGTAAATAGTTCCCTGGGAGGACCCCTTCAGTGTGCAAAACCCCCAAGGGTTTACATTTTTCCACAAGGATATGCTGCATGGCCTCAATGTCTCCTAGACTGTGCTTCCAGGCTCCAGCACTCCCGCTTCTCACCTTAACCTTTGCCCAGCTAGTCTGGCTAAAGCACACTCTTGTTAAGATTCAGACATCAATGCACTTCAGCAAGTATCTGCTGCAGCTCCATGCAGCCTTCTCAAAAACAGAGTGGGGTTTATTAGTCAACCGGAACACAGCATCAGGAAGTTCTTAAGTTAACACACAGAAGCAAAGGATAAGGCTATGTCCAGACTTAAAAAACTAGTGTCACAGCTGCACCGCTGTATTTTTTCAGTGTAGACACTTACTACAGCGATGGGGGGGGGGGGTCTTCCATCACTGTATGTAATCCACCTCCCTGAGAGGTGTTAGCTAGGTCAATGGAAGAATTCTTCCATCAACCTAGTGCTCTCTACTCTGGGGATTAGGGTGTTTTAACTATGTCTCTCCCTCAAGGGTGTGGATTTTTCACATCCCTGAGAGACATAGCTATGCTGGTGTAACTCTTCACGGCTTCCTTTCTCTGTCTCTGTTCTTTTGTCTTAGTCTCAGTTGAGAGCTCCTGTGTCTTTGTGAGGCCAGTTCTTAACACAGATACCTGACACCTCATGTTTTTAAGAATATAATAATGGCCACACTGGGTCAGACCAATGGTCCAGCTAGCCCAGTATCCTGTCTTCCGACAGTGGCCAATACCAGGTGCTCCAGAGGAAATAAACAGCACAGGTAATCATCAAGTGATCCATCCCATTACCCATTCCCAGCTTCTGCCAAACAGAGGCTAGGGATACCATCCCTGCCCATCCTGGCTAATAGTCATTGATGGACCTATCTTCCATGAACTAGTTCTTTTTTGAACCCTGTTATAGTCTTGGCCTTAACCACATCCTCTGGCAAAGAGTTCCACAGGCTGACTGTGCATTGTGTGAAAAAATACTTCCTTTTGTTTGTTTTAAACCTGCTGTTTATTAATTTCATTTAGTGGCCCCTAGTTCTTGTGTTATCAGAAGGAGTAAATAACACTTCCTTATTTATTTTCTCCACACCAGTCATGATTTTATAGACCTCTATCATATCCCCCCTTAGTTGTCTCTTTTCCAAGCTGAAAAGTTCCAGGTTTATTAATCTCTCCTCATATGGCAGCCATTCCATACCCCTAATAATTTTTGTTACTGTTTTCTGAACCTTTTCCAATTCCAATATATCTTTATTGAGATGGGGCAACCACATCTGCACGCAGTATTCAAGATGTGGGCGTACCATTAATTTATATAGCAGCAATATGATATTTTCTGTCTTTTTATCTATCCCTTTCTTAATGATTCCCAACATTCTGTTCACTTTTTTGACTGCTGCTGCACATTGAGTGGATGTTTTCAGAGAACTATCCAGAATGACTCCAAGATCTCTTTCTTGAGTTGTAACAGTTAATTTAGACCCCATCATTTTATATGTATAGTTGGGATTATGTTTTCCAATATGCATTACTTTGTATTTATCAACACTGAATTTCATCTGCCATTTTGTTGCCCAGTCACCCAGTTTTGAGAGATCCTTTTCTAGTTCTTTTCAGTCTGTCTGGGACTTAACTATCTTGAGTAGTTTTGTATCATCTGCAAATTTTGCCACCTCACTGTTTGCCCCTTCTTTCCAGATCATTTATGAATATGTTGAATAGGACTGGTCCCAGTACAGACACATGGGGGATACCACTATTTATCTCTCTCCATTCTGAAAAATGACCATTTATTCCTACCCTTTGTTTCCTACCTTTTAACCAGTTACCAATCCATGAGAGGATCTTCCCTCTTATCCCATGACAGCTTACTTTGCTTAAGAGTCTTTGGTGAGGGATCTTGTCAAAGGCTTTCTGAAAATCTAAGTACACTATATCCACTGGATCCCCCTTATTCACATGCTTGTTGACCCCCTCAAAGAATTCTAGTAGATTGGTGAGGCATGATTTCCCTTTATAAAAACCATGTTGACTCTTCCCCCAACAAATTATGTTAATCTATGTGTCTGACAATTTTGTTCTTTACTATAGTTTCAACCAGTTTGCCCGGTACTGAAGTCAGGCGTACTGGCCTGTAATTGCCAGGATCACCTCTGGAGCCCTTTTTAAATATTGGCGTCACATTCTTATCCTCTAGTCCAGGTGTGAATCATAGAATCATAGAATATCAGGGTTGGAAGGGACCTCAGGAGGTCATCTAGTCCAACCCCCTGCTCAAAGCAGGACCAATTCCCAACTAAATCATCCCAGCTAGGGCTTTGTCAAGCCGGGCCTTAAAAACCTCCAAGGAAGGAGACTCCACCACCTCCCTAGGTAACGCATTCCAGTGCTTCACCACCCTCCTAGTGAAATAGTGTTTCCTAATATCCAACCTAGACCTCCCCCACTGCAACTTGAGACCATTGCTCCTTGTTCTGTCATCTGCCACCACTGAGAACAGCTGAGCTCCATCCTCTCTGGAACCCCCCCTCAGGTAGTTGAAAGCAGCTATCAAATCCCCCCTCATTCTTCTCTTCTGGAGACTAAACAATCCCAGTTCCCTCAGCCTCTCCTCATAAGTCATGTGCTCCAGACCCCTAATCATTTTTGTTGCCCTCCGCTGGACTCTTTCCAATTTTTCCACATCCTTCTTGTGGTGTGGGGCCCAAAACTGGACACAGTACTCCAGATGAGGCCTCACCAATGTCGAATAAAGGGGAATGATCAGGTCTCTTGATCTGCTGGCAATGCCCCTACTTATACAGCCCAAAATGCCGTTAGCCTTCTTGGCAACAAGAGCACACTGTTGACTCATATCCAGCTTCTCGTCCACTGTGACCCCTAGGTCCTTTTCTGCAGAACTGCTCCCTAGCCATTCGGTCCCTAGTCTGTAGCAGTGCATGGGATTCTTCCGTCCTAAGTGCAGGACTCTGCACTTGTCCTTGTTGAACCTCATCAGGTTTTTTTTGGCCCAATCCTCTAATTTGTCTAGGTCCCTCTGTATCCAATCCCTACCCTCTAGTGTATCTACCACGCCTCCCAGTTTAGTGTCATCTGCAAACTTGCTGAGAGTGCAGTCCACACCATCCTCCAGATCATTAATAAAGATATTAAACAAAACCGGCCCCAGGACCGACCCTTGGGGCACTCTGCTTGAAACCGGCTGCCAACTAGACATGGAGCCATTGATCACTACCCGTTGAGCCTGACGATCTAGCCAGCTTTCTATCCACCTTACAGTCCATTCATCCAGCCCATACTTCTTTAACTTGCTGGCAAGAATACTGTGGGAGACCGTATCAAAAGCTTTGCTAAAGTCAAGGAATAACACATCCACTGCTTTCCCCTCATCCACAGAGCCAGTTATCTCATCATAGAAGGCAATTAGGTTAGTCAGGCATGACTTCCCCTTGGTGAATCCATGCTGACTGTTCCTGATCACTTTCCTCTCCTCTAAGTGTTTCATAATTGATTCCTTGAGGACCTGCTCCATGATTTTTCCAGGGACTGAGGTGAGGCTGACTGGCCTGTAGTTCCCCGGATCCGCCTTTTTCCCTTTTTTAAAGATGGGCACTACATTAGCCTTTTTCCAGTCATCCGGGACCTCCCCCGATCGCCATGAGTTTTCAAAAATAATGGCTAATGGCTCTGCAATCTCATCCGCCAACTCCTTTAGCACCCTCGGATGCAGCGCATCCGGCCCCATGGACTTGTGCTCGTCCAGTTTTTCTAAATAGTCCCGAACCACTTCTTTCTCCACAGAGGGCTGGTCACCTTCTCCCCATACTGTGCTGCCCAGTGCAGCAGTCTGGGAGATGATCTTGTTCGTGAAGACAGAGGCAAAAAAAAGCATTGAGTACATTAGCTTTTTCCACATCCTCCGTCACTAGGTTGCCTCCCTCATTCAGTAAGGGGCCCACAATTTCCTTGACTTTCTTCTTGTTGCTAACATACCTGAAGAAACCCTTCTTGTTACTCTTAACATCTCTTGCTAGCTGCAACTCCAAGTGTGATTTGGCCTTCCTGATTTCACTCCTGCATGCCTGAGCAATATGTGGGCAAACTTTTTGGCCTGAGGGCCACATCAGGGTTCCGAAAGTGTATGGAGGGCAGGTGTAGTGTATTAAATTGCTCCTCATAGGAATGTGATACTTACGGTGTGCTACTTACGGCTGTCAGGCCTGGTGCTCTGAGTGGCATGGTAAGGGGGCGGGGAGCAGGGGAGTTGGATAACGGGCAGAGGATCCCGGGGGGCATCAGGGGACAGGGAACAGGGGCAGTTGTATAGGCGTGGGAGTCCTGGGGGGCCTGTCAGGGGGCGGGGGTGTGGATAGGAGTCGGGGCAGTCAGGGGACAGGAAACAGGGGGGGTTGGATGGGGGGGTGGG